ATCTTTTATTTGGTAGGGAAAGGGAATGAGGACTGTGAGATTACCCATAGGGCTCAAACCCCCTCTTGATTCAGCCGAAGTTACTGGAGGGTCTACGCCATCCACCGAGTTAGCAAAGATAGCCACCATGCCCCAGCCAGGTGAACCACTCATCCCCAGCAAATACCGGGATCTAGTGGAGGTGTTTAGTGAGAAAGAATGCAATGTCCTGCCACTCCATTGGCCCAATGACTGCACCATAGAACTATTACCAGGAGCTAAACTCCCAAAGCTGAGAATGTATGACATGACTCCCCTCGAAATGCATGAGCTGCAGCAATATGTGAACAAAAACCTAGTAAGAGGATTCGTTAGCTGGCCAAATCTCAAGTGGGGGCTCCGGTGTTATTTAAAGAGAAAAAAGATGGGTTGCTTCGTCTCTGCATGGACTATAAAGGGTTAAATGCTGTGAGCATAGAGAACAAGCATCCCTTCCCCCTCCTGAAAGATCTACTAACACATCTAGCAAAGGAGAGCATCTTCACTAAATTGGACCTATGGGAGGCATATTTCTGAGTAAGAGTAAGAAAAGGAGATGAATGGAAGACTGTTTTCAACTGTCCCATGCAGCTGATCAACCAGGTGTTACATGATCATTTGTACAAGGGGTTTTTGATTTATCTTGATGACATCCTGATATATAGCATGAATATGGGTGACTAGGTGAAGCTAGTGCAAGAAGTGTTGAAGAAATTGTTGAATGCCAAGCTATATGTTAAACTGTCAAAGTGTGAGTTCCATCAGACCCAACTGGATTATCTAGGCTATAGAATTTCCAGCAAGGGTATTGAAATGGACCCTGGCAAGGTGAAAGCCATAATCAAATGGAACCCCCAAAGACTCACAAACAGCTTCAAAGCTTTCTGGGATTTGCCAACTTTTACTGACAATTCATCCCCTCATTTGCCGAAATTGCTTTACCTCTCATGGATTTGTTAAATACCGGCAAAGATGGGGGAAGCCACGACCGGGCCAGCTGCTGACATGGACTATGAACTATCAAACTGCTTTCAAGAATCTGAAAAGACTATTTGCCGTCAAGCACCTCTGCCCGGGGAAGCCCTTTGTGATTCAAGCCAATGCCAGCAACATGGCCTTTGGAGCTGTACTATTGCAAAAGAACCATGAGGGGGTCCTGCAGCCCTGTGCCTACACCTCAAAAATGTTCACAGACTGTGAGAGAAGGTGGGCAGTTTGGGAGAAGGAAGCCTTCGCAATTTGTTGGGCTTGTTAAACTGGAGGCACTACATAGAAGGGAGCAAGGTTCCTTTTGAAGTGTGATGACCCAGGGCCCCGAACAGAGACAAAGCAATTATCTGGTCAGAACAATTGTCTTTGTAAGCACTGCCAACGTTCACCCAACAGCCCCACATATGCTGGCACAAGTTCAATATAACAGTCAGGGAAGTTTACACGGTTCTTTAAAGTAAAACAGATAACAAGCAAACGTATAATCCTTTCAACTCCCAGCTTGCCTGTGAACTGCAAGATGCACACCACAGACAACAAGGAGAAATCAGCAGGAAGCAAACTTGGTCCAAAATACAAAGTGTCCAGGTACAAGAGCATACTATCACAAGAGTTCACGTTTGTTCCCGGCAAATGCCTCACTCCACAGCGTCTCCTTAAATCCTACTCCCCAGGTGTGCCTTGTGGAGTGGGGCATGATGCTCTCCTCCCGAGCAAGTGAGCCTGCCTCCGTTATTCCCTCCTCCTCTCTGCTCTCCTTGCTGTGGGATCTGGTGGGGAGGAGCCTTGCTCCTCGCCTGAAATTTGCCTTGCCTGTTCCAAACTTGAAGAGCCCTGAACTGCTTCAGCCTGCTCCTCCCCACAGTCCTCTGAAGTCACAGACACCCTTCTGGGCCTCAACTCCATATCATCCTCAGAGTCAGGCTCAGACGGAGGCATGACATGAAGTATGGACTGATCACAAAAACTTAGAGGCACTGAAAACTCCTCTCAAGCTGTCCCTGAAGCAAGTATGGGGGGCGCAGTATTTTAACTGATTTAACTTCACCCTGAAATACATACCAGGGAAAAAAACTTTTTAGCAGATGCTCTATCCAGAATGCTTCAGTACAAAAGCCAGTGTGAAGAGGTCAATGAAGCGAGCATATCTACACTGCAAGCTGCATCTCAGCTAATGTCACAAAGAGTCCCACACCTCGATGACCCTGGGATGAGAAAATTAAAACAGGAACTCAACAATCGATGGTTCAAAGACAATCAAACCTCCTTGATGTGCAGGGATGGACTGGCATACAAAGGGGGAAAGTTGTATTTGCCCCAAACCCTCCGCCTCAACGCTCTCAAGTACGGTCACGATGTGAAACAAGCTGGGCACTTTGGCTATTTGAAAACACTGCATCTGGTTCGTCGACAGTTTTGGTGGCCAAGTTTGAAATGGGACGTAAAGAACTATGTCAAAAGCTGTGTTGTATATGCCACCATACAGAGAATTTCGGGGAAGCCCCTGGACTATTGCAACCGGTTGCAAACCCTTCCCAGCCATGAGAAGAAATAGCTATGGATTTTATAGTTGAGTTACCTGAAAGTAGAGGAAATACGGTGATTTGGACTGTAATTGATCTTTTTTCGAAGCAGGCTCATTTCATTGCCTGCAAAGGACTCCCATCAGCCCAGAGACTGACTAAAATGTTTCTTAAGCACATTTACAGACTGCACAGTGTGCCACAATGGATATTCTTGGACAGAGGGGTGCAATTTACGGCTACGTTTTGGAGGAATTTCCTCAAGTCATTGCAAGGACTATCATAGCTTTTCACCCATCTATGAATGGGCGGCTGAAAAAGCGAACTCAATGGTGGAGCAATACCTTAGATGCTATGTGGATTATCAACAAACGAACTGGACTGACCTTCTCCCTTTCACAGAGGTTGCTTACAATAACTCTGTTCAGAGCAGCACCAGTTTTATGCCTTTTAAAATTGCCACAGGAAAAGAATTCAACCCTATACCCAAATATCCTCAAGGACACTCTATTTCCCAAACGCTTGGCCAGTGGGTGAAGGGGTGGGAGGAGGTTTGGGACAAAATAAAAACCACTCTGAAAAAGGCTTCTGAGACATATAAAAAACAAGTGGATAAAAAAAGGGCTCCCCAAAGGGTTGGGGGAAAAGTTTACTTATCCACAAAATATTTACGACTCATGTTGCCTAGTAAGAAGTTGGGACTGAAGTATCTAGGTCCCTTCCCCATCGTAAAAATCATAAACCTAGTTACGGTGGAGTTAAAACTTCCCAGACTCTTAGGGAAAGTCCACTCTGTGTTCCAATGTAGCCTACTGAAACCCTTTCGGAGTTCTACCTTACAACCTCCCCCTAAAAAGGCACCTGGCCCTTTGGTGGTAGCTGGACAGATCCATTATGAAGTGAGGTGTATTCTTGATTCTAGATTTTCAAGGGAAAGTTATAGTACTAAATGCAGTAGAAAGGGTACCCACTATCTAAAGCCACTTGGGTAAAATCTAGTGACGTAAAAACTGACAGGCTCATTAGTAAATTCTATGAAAAGCACCCTAATAAACCGAGAGGCAACTCCTAACCTATGATTTTATTTGAATTGCAGGATTTATCCTTTTTGTAAAGGGGGGGGATTTCAACGCTGTAAACATTGGATGTTTCCCGCTCTGACAACTGATGAAAATCGCAGTCATTTTCTCTTTGCTTTTAACATGCTTTTTCTTCTATTTAGAAATCAGGTGCAGAAGTGGGGGTTGGGATGAATGCTTAAGCTTAGTTAGTCATAATAATAAATGCTGCTTTGTGGGAACCCAAGGATGAATTGATAACATTTTGGTGGGCTGAGGAGCTGGGGAGAAAGCCCATGTTTCAGGCTAATTGGAGAACGTGATTTATGACTGCTTATTGGGGGGGTGGGAATTGCAATTTGTTACTTTGTATCTGGGGGAAGGGAAACTAGTTTTGGGTTCAACTATGTAGTGCCGAAACGTTTCCTGAATAAAATGTTATTTAAGGAAGAATTCTAGTCTTGAAGTTCTTTTCATGGGTTTCATCTATCGCAGGAATGTCAAACTCATGACGTCACGTGACATTGTGTGACATATTGCAACTTTTCCCCCATTGCCGGCACTGGGATGGGCATGGTTTTGATGTGACGCATCTGGCCCATGGGCCAGCAGTTTGACATGCCTGATCTATCAGAACCATGACATTCGGATTACATTTCCCATTATACCTACCCAACATGAATAATGGTGAGGACTTCTGGGAATTATAGTCCTAATCACATTTGAAAAACATCAGGTTGCCTATCATTACAATGGCCAATACCTCCAAAACTAAACTGGATCATTTCCCACATAAATGAGGCTTGACTTCAGGCCAGAAGCAGCCTATTCCTGGCCTAAAATAGTCAGGATTACCATTTTAAAGCATCAGGGGAAAACAATGTCAGACTCAAATGAAACTGCAATAAAACAGTGATATCCAAGAATACTGAAAAGTGGTGATGTTGTGCATATTGACAGCAGCAACTCTGTTTTGGGTTCTATGAGGACAAAATTGGCATGGTAGAGCTGGTAAATGCCTTGAACAATGTTGTGGAGCTGAATAGGCAAAAATGGTATCAGCATAAAACAGTTCTGACTTCCCAGATTTTCCAAAAATTAAATTTTCTATTCTAATCCGCATAGTATTTGGGGGGGGGGGGGAGAGCCAACTCAAAAACCCAAATATTCACCTTTCTATAAGGAAAGGTTCTATAAAAAGCAAATATATGTAGCTGCCTGAAAAGATTTCAGGTCAAAGAATGATGGTTTTGCAATTATTTTGCAAAGACCATGCCAATTTTGTCCTCATAGAGCCCAAAACAGAGTTGCTGCTGTCAATATGCACAACATCACCACTTTTCAGTATTCTTGGATATCACTGTTTTATTGCAGTTTCAACTTACAACCAGTCACACAGCAGCCATTTAAAGTTACAAGGGACCACCCAAGCAATACTAATACTGTAATCTAGTTTCAAAGTTCTGACAGCCACTCCCTCCATGTGGTCATGTGACTGCATTTCAAGTGTTAGGGACTGACCCATATTTATGGTGGTTTTCAGCATCCTGCCGTTATATGATCACAAATTAAGACTTTTTGTGAAAACTGTAAGTTACTCCCACTTTTCAGCAAAAACAGATCATAGCAAATAATGGAGTCACTTAATGTGGTTCATAAAAATGGATCCAGTCCAAGTGGTGATCCACTTTACAACCATCATAACTTAAAACTATAATGAGCAGGTTGCATTATGGTCAAAGACTACCTACTGTATATCAAGTTCTATTAAGCAATATAAGCAAACATTCTTATAATTGTTATAATTCCAAAGTGAGTGCCAAGTGCTCAATTTTGGGATACTTTTCAGATCTACAATAAAGAGGAACTGCATTATAAAGAAATGTGACATCTCTCCTGTTAGAACTAGACTTTTAAATTAGTTCATTTTTATTTTTTCCATAGGGGTGCCTCCATCTTACTGGATGTTTTTCTTTCCCTTGTAAATTTTATTTTCCTCAAGTATTTGCAAAATTTGGGGTATTTTCTGAGCTTGCCAAAGCTGAGCTGCTGCTTCTTCATGGAGATGCTATTCTGTCTACATAACATATATAATGATCCACACTTATCCCCAGTAATATTAAGAAAGGAATTTTTATTAAGCCTTTCTAAACCAAATGTCTACAGTACCACCAATCTTGTACCCTGAGATCCTTTTTAACATTAATAATATACATGTTTACCTTCAGCCATTAGGTTATACTTTCCTCCAGTTTTGTCCATTAAGTATATCCTCTTCTTCTCACTGTTTTCTTTCCTATTCTATTCAGCTTCTCCCTTTTAACCCAAATGACATTGAAAGGGCCATAGTTGACACTTGCATTAAGTTTTTCTGTTCACAACTATTTGATACAAACAAAAGGTCAAAATCTCTAGTATCTCAGTATAGTATTATGTATGTTTAGCACATTGTGTTTGTTGAAGTGTTTTCCTTTGATAGCTTCAAGAATTTTTCAAACTTGGCAAAATTAAGCAATAATCTGTTGCTGCAGTATATAGTCAGATTAATACTGGGCATAAATTCAATATGTCATTTCTTTGAAGTTTGGTAATGTTGGTTTTAGCCCGCAGTAGGCTCTTAATACTAAAAATATCCATACCTAAACCAGAGTGGGCTGCCTGCAACATCCAAATTATATGTTTTTGTACATCATCTGACAATGATTAGTGAAAATTGATAGTTCTGATAGAATATGCGCAGCTGTCAGCCTCCCTCACCCCAAAATGTTAAATATAGCACCTGTATGGAGGAAAGTTTTTTACCTTTGAGGGAAGCATCTGGTTGATCTTCTCTAGTTTCAGAAGCTAAGTAGGGTTGAGTCTGGATAGTACTTTGATGGGAAACTTCAAGAAATCCCAGGGTAGTGTCTATACCAGTGTTTCTCAACCTCAGTGACGTTCAGATGTATGGACTTCAACTCCCAGAATTCCCCAGTTGAAGTCCATACATCTGAAAGTTACTGAAGTTGAGAAATATGAGTTAGACTGAAAAGTTGAAAGCAATTCAGAGAGTGGCAATGGCAGATTGCTTCTGTATCGTTTCTAAGAAAATTCCATGAATGTGTTCGTGAAGAAGACTTGACCTCTGATTAAGACTCTGCAGTGTTATTTTCAGCCTCCAGGTGGCATTAAAGGTCACAGAGCAATCAGTGGCTCAGGTGGAGAGCCTGTTCTATGGGCACTTCAAAAATATTAGAAAGGCTGAGCCGGGGTGTTAGGATGGACTGGATGCAATCCAAGTTTTGCTTTCTTGAGTAGTGGCTTCCTCTGCTTCCCCACCCAGCCACCCCCAGCTCCCAAAAGTAAATATTCATAACAATGGAAAGGAAGTTAAGAACTTTGTTTTTAATCCCTCCAATGCACACGCGCACGCACACACCCACACACACCCCCAGACACCCACACACACCCCTAAAAATGATTTTCCCACAGAGTAAATGCACACACATAAATTAATAACATGGCATGATTGGATCACAGACTCTTAACTGGAGGTGAGGCAATAAATAGGAAGAGAGGGGCAAACTGGAAAAAAAAGGGAGTTCCAGAAGTAAACATTTTCCGCCTCAGAAACTGCTCTCAAAACTATTCCAAAGGCCTTCAGTGGTGAATCAGATGTTTTTACAAGATACAGTTTGGTAAAGGTGGACGAACCTCCCACAACTACTTAATTTTCTTTCCAATGCACTCTCTAAAGTTCTAGGCTGTGTGCACAGAATGGAGGTGAGGCCCAGCAGGTGTGGCTGCTGGCCACACATGTACAGACAATGCACTTTCAAACATGCCCTAAAAGAACTTTTTAAATCGTGCAGGGAATCCTTGGCAGATGTGTGGAAATGGGAAATGTTCCCCGAGGGTAGACATTTTGAAAAACCCTGAACTAGTAGAGTGCACAGAAGGAAAAACATTGGGGGGGGGGGAGGTAGTGAGGACTGTAGAAAAGAAGGACCTTGATATTCATGCCTAGATCACAAACAGTGATCACTGAGATCCTCTTGACTGCAAAAGACCCACTAATCTCTTCTGTACTACCCACCAGTTTGCATGGATAATGCAGCCCTCCAGCCATAACTTTTCCCAGGCAGGACTTTAAAGTTCCTCTTCCAGCCCATTTAACAAGAAAAAACATTCTTCCACTTAGGCAGCAAAAGCCCAGAGCTTATGGCCATAATGATGTACTTCCCCCTTAGTTTTGCTGCAGCACAAATGGAATCAGCAGTGTAGCCCAGAAGCTATTAGTCACTAGAGACCACCCTCTTCTTTTTTCAACACAGACACATGTACGTGCAAACACACACACACACACACACACACACACACACACACACACACACACTGGCCAATGAAAGCTGAGTTAAATTTAGGAATCATTCCAATCCGTGACTGAACATACTAGAGAGCTGGCCATGCTTTGATTGGCCAAAATGAGGTCACGGACTATGCCCCTTTCTTTTCTACGTCCGGCCAGTGCGTGTGAGTAGGGTGCAGACACAGGAAGTGTCAATCCGGATCCAGCGCCAGCCAACAATCTTGTCAGAATCCATAGTCAGAGCCCTCACGTAAGACTGTTTAGCCTTGCACTCAGAGATCCAATGGCGTCGATCAACACCCCGGCAGCCACCCACAGTTCCTCCAGCTGGATTACATTTGGTCTCAAAGAAATACTGCCTAAGGGGACCTGTAAGTGTCTGGACCTCAGACAACACTGTCACCGTTTTGCCACGGATGTCGACAGCTGTCCGTTTGTCTGTCACCCACACGTTAACACTGTCACATACAGACATTTCTCCCCGGCGTAGGGACCCTTCCAATGACCGTTTGGACTTGAATGTTCTATTAGCAGCTTGTCCAGGTTGGGTATTGGAGTCCTCCATGAGGAAAAGCAAGGGGGGCTCTTCAGGAGCTTGGTTAGATAGAGTGACACGTGGAGAGAAGAGGTCCCAATCCCTCAGGGGAGTCTCAGCCCAGAGAGTATCAGTGGTGTTAAGGAGGATATAGGTATTGGGAAGGGGGGCAGCCTGGATGACACAGAGCAATGGGGTGACCATGGCATGGAACAGAATAAGCATCACTCTGCACAGCGGGGACCTATGCAGAAAAAAGAAAGCAACAATAAATTGACATTGATCATCAACTCTGAGCTCTTATTCCCTTTCTTCTCCTTTTCCACCATCCTCCACTTTTCTAGTTGGGCCAATTCCATTCTTGGATTGAGAAAACCTTTATCTAAAAGGATTTCAAATGGTACAATTGCAGCAGCCATCTTAATTTTTCCCAGAATGCCATGTCTCAGATATTCCATCAAAGCATCTCATTGCAGGCAAAAGTAAGCATGGGTAGTTCATGCAGAGGCCTACCATCTGGCACATTTGTTTTTCTTCTTATGTAAAATCTCTGAGAACAATGGAACTTTCAGTGTATCATGTTTTCCAGCAAGTGCCTGTTGATGTCCAGACTGGACTCAGTTTATAAAAGAATCTGATGTTATCAGCAAAGGAATTACAAGATTAGCAAACCGTCAGCTAATATTGAATTAAACACAGCTCAGTATCCCCAGTTCATAATTGTCAGTAACCAGGTACAAAGTGCTAGAAGTATTAAATTCCAAGATAAAACAGACTAAAGAAAGATCTTTCCAGTCTCCCTTGTATAAACCTAAGTCTTGGCCAGATTTCAATAAATTATATTTCTTATCATTCCCATAAAAAAACCCCCATCAGTAGTTTTTCATCCCTCACCAATTCTTTTTTCATTAGTATAATTATAATAAACACTAGGGCACTGCATACTTCAGAAATGATTCAGAAATCTTCAGACTTCCCATGAGTATAGTTCTCTTTGCTATTCATTAAAGAAGTTTTAAGAGTTAAAGATGTACCCTTGAACAACTTGGTTCATTAAAGGAACACCTTTTTTAGGTTCAGAAGGTTAAAAAAAAACCTCATGCACGTTTTCATGAGAGGCCCTGTGCTTTCCTCCCAAAAGAAAAGGAATCCAGGCTGATTCAGGAAAGCTTCAATAAAAGCACACAGACAAAAGTGGGTAGGAGGATTACCTGTGATTCAAGCCTTCCTCCGGCCACAGTCAAGCAGATCCTGGGCTTTATTCATGACCCCCCCAGAGTGGGGTCTTGCTTGGATATTTGGTAATGCAAGCCAGCCTGTGTTGCGAAGACCGTCTTTTTGTTGCTGTGTCTCTTACAGGCACTTGTGACTCTTTGCTGTTCATGTGTCTGAAAGACGGGACTTCTCAGGTCCCATCAAATCTCATGCTGCATCCTTGCTTCTGCTGAGATAGCAAAGAGAATGGTCCTCACCCAGAGGTTAAAAAATTGCCTCACTGTTGGTAAGGGATGGCAATAGGAAGATGTGAAAGAATATGGACTTGGCTGAGAATTTGATGTCACTCATAAGATCTGGCAAAAGAGGGAAACAACACCCTCTCAGTGAAGAGAAAATTAAACTACCATCCTGCCTATGCTTAGTTAGTCTCCTGTAATCATTTGCCATCTAGATATGCTGGATTATAATTCCTATTTCCCTCAGCCAAATAAATTGACGGCAAGGTATGTGTGTATAGAAGAGACATATACGCACCAGCAGCTAGAGTACATCAACTTGTAGAGATTTTTAATATTCTACAAAATGTAGCAGGCTAGAAAATCTATATACTTATAAAATCTAGCAGACAGAAATCTCAGTAGGTTGGTCAGATGGAGGTTGGTCCTATATCTTGAATACATATGAAAATTAATATAAATTAAATTCTTTTACATTGAATGCTATTGGTATGCAAATTCCTAACTGGAACATGCTATTTTAAAATTGCTCATATGTCCCAGACTTAAATGACCACAATTAAACCTGGCTATATTTGTTCCCACTGAAACCCTGAATTAATGTTATGTTTTCCAACTCTCGTCTTTTATAAAACCACTGTCTTCCAGCCCAAAGCACGAAAGTTACAATTGCTGCATCTGGAAAAGCCAAAGGAGACAGAAATATAGGCTTTTCAGAAAGAATACATTCCACAATCACATATGAGACAATGGGCCAAGACAAATGGAAATGCTCAAAAGGTGCTGAAAAATATGCTGGAAGTATTTAAAGAAACTATCTTTTACAAGTTGGATTCCTGGCACTGACTGGATTCCTGGCACAATTGCTATAAAAAAATATTCCCCACCGAGTCTCATGTGTGTATGTGCCTTTGAGTAAGTGTTGACTCCTGCTAACTGCCTGGACAAGTCCTTGCAGTTTTCTTGTCAAGTTTTTTGGGGAGTAGTTGGCCATTGCTTCCTTCCTAGGAGTGAAAGAAAGTAACTAACTCAAAGGCACCCAGCTACCTTTGTATCTAAGGCAGAACTAGAACTCACGCACTCCCAGTTTCTAGTCTAATGTCTTAACCATTACATCAAACTGGTGCTCAGAGACTCCATAGCACTACCCAATTACTTTTTATAATAGTCTAACTAACTTTCAGCCTCCAAGTATGTTAGATTACAATTCCTGTGGTGTTTCCTCCCCCCAACATCCTCCCCCCCAGCTAAAAGTGGCTTTCAGTATGGCAAGGATGCTGGGTATTACGCTCAAACTTTAAAAGTTCTCTCCTCCTCCAGTATGGAAAAAAACATCCAGGGAATTTACTCTTAACCCCCAATTGGTACCATTTAACTCTCAATGTACCTAGTCAACAGGACATTAAAGATGAACACAACTGGGAGAGTACTAGTGAGAGAAAGGATGGTGCAGAGAGAATAGATTCTTTGAAAAATCTTTCTTGTGCCAGAGGTTAAGAATATTCTTCTGTTGAAGTCACAAGTCAAGAAGCTGAACAGGACATGAAGTCAGAGACTATGCCCAAAAGCATACCTCCTGTGGCACCTGCCTTGGCCACTGGAAAAGGAATTAATTAAGCACCTTTTTTGCCCACTGCTCTACCCCAACCCAAGGGCTGCTGATGAACCCTACAAATTCTCCAGCTGCTGACAGGAGCCAGGGGACTGGGATCCAGATGTATTAACATCTGGAGAGAACTACCACAGGGGGTTGGGTTTGGAGGGTAGCTAATCCCTCCTGCCTTTGAAACTGACACTGGGTCTACCTCCCCTCCCTTTCTTCTCCCCTCCCCCCTAGCCTGGGCTAAACTAAACCCATGCAATATGCATCATCACTAATGCTGGAGGGGGGAGAAATAGGAGGGGGGAAATCAGTATGTGGGGCCAGAAAAACAAGTTCCCTTATTCCATCTGAATGGCAGGGAGAGAAAAGGAGAACAGGATAAGAGAATGTAATATAAGAAAAAAGAGTTTGTTCTTAGAACATATGCAAGTACATGTCTATCTCTCTGCTTAATTTGCTAAATTTGTAGTCCCAGAAAGAGTGCAGGCTAATGTGAAGAAGAATGAACCAAAAGGCTGGTAATGAGCAGTCCATATTCCTATTTTGCCTAATGAAGAATAAAGAAAAAAAATAAAAAGTCACTCCGTAGAACAATAGCAATGAAGCTCTAATAGGTAAGGCAGAGAGAGAGAGAGAGAGAGAGAGAGAGAGAGAGAGAGAGGGAGGGAGGGAGGGAGGGAGGGAGGGAGGGAGGGAGAGAGAGAGAGAACAAAATTTCTTATTTTGCTTTCCTTGGTATTAGCAAAGGTAGTTTGGGAAAGACCATAGAATATGTTGTTTTCTGACTTACAAAAGGGTGAGACTTGGACTCTTGGGGTCTGTGAAAAAGGAGTGGTGCCTAGTGGCTAAGCAAACAATATTAAACCTCAACCTTAGGCTATTTGCATAAGCATTTTACCCACAATGCCCAACACTCATGACCTTGCTCCCTCCCATGGGAAAGAGAGGGGGCTGTGATGTGAAGCTGCAGGCATTTAAGGCAAGGGGAACCAGCCCCTGCTTCAAGGAGGTATGTGTAGCTTAGTGTAGTGCAGGCTCCAACATGCTCTTCTGCGGCAATACCACTCAACAAACAGGGAGCCTTAGCTATGTCAAAGATGTCCACAGTTCTGGCTTGAAGCTCTATACAGAAAGCTCTTGGTATTCCATTCATTCATTCTTTCCTCTTTTTTTCTGTCTGGTAATATGACAGGGAGGAATCTTGGCCCTTTTAGATATTTTGGCAAGAATTGCATCTTAGCATGTATAAGTTTCTTTCTTTCATTTTTTTTGGCAGGGAAGGTGTGTGTGTGTGTGTGTGTGTGTGTGTGTGTGTGTGTTTGTGTCCTTCCTAGTTTTTCCCATTCAGTTCTAAGGAGCAAAGCTGCCAAATAGTCAGCTTTGGCAGCAAAATCAGCTGTTTGTTTGTGAGTGTGAGAAAAAAATTGCCTGCTGTTCAGCACACCATCTTCTGGAAGTCCTCTTTACCCTATATGAGTTTCTACCTGAAGAAAGCCTAGAACTGTGTATAATACAATCAAGATCCTACTATCAGTTTAAATGAGATGAGTATTCAGTGGTTTTCAGCTCCCTCGCCATCTCCATTTAAAAATATAGTAGGAGATTCATCACTGGCCTTCCCATGTACACATTAACATAAGTGGTGTTCACATTCTGAGCTCAAGTCTCCTTATGGTTTGGTTTGATTTGTTTTGGCTTAGTGTCTTGTAGTATGATTCGCAATCATGGTTTATAGTTAATGTAGTCTTTCATCCCAGTCAATAATGTTTTATTCAGTAAGTTACAACTGAGACTTCTTGGCAAACCAAACTAACCTTTGCTTAAAAAGAAGCTGAAATTTTGAACACTTCAAATTCTATGCCTGGTACTTGAGACATTTGGATTTATGATACATAGGCTTTTATGCAAAGAATTATTTGCTTAAATTGGCTATTCACTTTGAACTCAGGTAATTTCTCCATAGGATCTATTTATCCTATCCTAGTTTTAACCATATCTTATGGAGCCCCTCTAAGATATGCTTTAGAATATCAAGAAGTGGCCACAATGGTGGGATTGAAGCCCATCTTTTTTTCTTTATCTGCATCATGGTGGTGCACATAGAAACAGTTACAATCACACCATTGTGGTTAACCCTTTGATTTTTTTCGACCACAGCCTGTTGATAGTCTTGTCCAAGTCTCCATCCTGGTTCTATCTACAAATCTCCTTTCCCCTTTATATGATAGCATGGCCTTACCTGGCTTGCAGGCATGAGCCAAAAAGTCTGAGATACCAAAATGAAGTAATATCTATTTCCATTCAACTCTGTATAGGAATACTCTGGCTTCCCCTTTGTACTAACCTTTGAGATACCCGAGTCCAATAGTTCTGCATGCAGAGATTTTGGGGAATTTTAGAGGATTCATGGTCAGAATTTGGACTCCTTTGAAGCTGAGAATTACTTTGGGACTTAAGGAGTCACTTTAAAAAAGAGCCCAAACCTGTGAATCACAAAGCTCAAAGTCTTTGACCAATTTGAGCAAGGATGCAATCTGGATACACAGGATCCAAGAACTGTACTTAAAGTTGACCCCAAGTAACTGCTAGTAGATATCGGTGTCTTAAAATAAATCAGATCAGGGAAAAAAGGGCTTCTGGGGTGCTAAGAGCTTCATGATAGGAACACTGAATTTTTTTCACCTCAATTAAGTGGGAGAAATGAAGAAAAGAAACGGGTAGCCAATAATGGGCCTTAGATGAAAATGATAGTGACCTCAGTTCAGTTCTGATATTGAAAATAAAATCTGGATGTGCACAAAGTTACTCCATTCTTGAATTCTATGTTGTTTGTAACATTCTCTGATTCTAACAAGTAAAAATATTAAGTAGATCCAACAAGTATTTTAAGTCACGTGGTTGGGCACCTAAGATCAATTAAGATTATTAAAAATTGAAAAATTGGGCTTATTCAGAAGGGCTAGGGAATCTAGGAATTATTTAAGATTTCATTTAAGCAGTGATTTAAATCTGGGAGCATAAATTAGGAAGAACATGAAAGACCCACATCAACCCTTTAAACTTTTGTTTCAGCTATACACAATTATTCTCATCTATCTTTTTAGCACTATTTATACATTCCAATGATGATTATATATCTCAAAAGCACAAACGTACTGTACATTAAAGGAAAAGTCACCAGCTGACTTGTACTGAATATAGATATAATATAGATATTAAAAGATAGATATCTTTTAATATCTCTTCCAGTCCTGATCAACTATACTTTATTATTAATAGGATATCTGCAATTAATTATGTACAATATAAATGTATTTCACTGTTACTGACTGGTGTCTTCCACTACAAACTACTCTTGAATCATATTTCCCACCAGTACTGCTAAGAATCTCCACATAATGTGAAATGGAATGACATTCTTTCCCACCCAAATTAGAAGATGGGGAAGAAGGAGAATGTGGGTGGATTGATCTCCTCCCACATATTTGCTTCCTAAATAACAAGCTTATTTGGGGGAAAGTCACCCAAATGAGTATTATGGGATGTTTGTATTGTTTTTAATTGTTTTGTTTTATAGTTTAGAACTGTAAGCTGCCCAGAGTCACTTGTCTGAGATGGGTGACTATAGAAGTGGAATGAATGAATGACTGAATGAGCACTCAGGCCCTATGTCCCTTCATCAAACTCCTAAGAATTACATAAAGTTTGCTTAGAGAGCTGGTCCTCAGTGGTGTTCTCCAGATGCATCACCATATAATACTCAAAGTTTCCAGACAATATGGGAATTAGTTTTGCTAGTTAATTAGAATTGGAAAATTAAAATTCTTTCTCCACGCTGGAGAAAACGGGCCTCCGACCTATCCTATACAACCTATCTTTAACCCCACTTCCACTGTAGAAATTGTGGTGATTTAAATACAAGATTGTCTTTGTTTCTCATGCTATAGAGGTCAAAATTCTCATCCACCTTCCTCATTAGCATTATGGAAAGCATGTGCATTGCTAGCGTGACTTAAGTCAAAGCAAAGGGAAGAGATCATGCAGTGGGGAAGCAACCCTGTTTTCCCTAAGTATTAAATTGCTCTCCTTACAAGGCACCCAGAGATCCTGCTTTCCATCACCAGCAGGTAATCCAAAGCAGGCAGGGATATTTCCGCTTTTCTCTCTCCAGCTGGTTTCCATCTAGTCCTGCTCATAGGCAATTGTGGGAATGAGAAATATGGCATATGGATTATGGCTATATCCTCTCCCTCTCTGCTTGCCGCCCATTTACCTGGAGGTAGGAGGACTAGGCTGTTTTTTTCTGAGAGAGGAAGGCAGGGCAGCCTCCCAGCAGAGGAAAGAATATTGGGGAGAAGGAAAATAGTGCCTAATCACTTGTTAGTGTGCTTCACAGGGAAGTCACTTCTAGATGGGGCTGCAGGCCTCCTGATGTCCCAGAGAGAAAAGTGAACTTCTGGCTCGAGAGCACGCGTCGCCCTCAACTTGATGCCCTCTGGAGGAATTGGGCGATAATTGCCCTGATCTTTCAATCAGTTTTCCGGCTAGGAATCCCACCCAGGTGGAGGGCACCTAGTCGAGAGAGACGGGTTTCCAGAGTCCCTCTCCGCCGCGACTCGCCTCCTACCTTTAAAGTGCCCCAGACGCCTCCTTCGGGCTTCCAAACACTAAGAGTAGCTCGGCGCCGTCGGGATCCCATTCCCTGCTTTGCAATTCAGGCGAACAGACTAAAAGCTGCTGGAGTTTGAGGTGGGGGTGTGGAAGGCGCGAGTCGGCGGAGGCTCCACTCCCCAGCTGGAGGTGGGGAGTACGGGAGAGAGAAGAGAGAATGAAGCAACGCCGCTGTGCGTGGGGGAATGGGAAAGACCCTGATGGAGAAGGACCGGCGGAACTGGTTTGGAGGTGCCGGAGATGGATGGGGAAGGAAGTATAGAGCAGGAGGCATCGGGTAGAGCAGAACACCGAAGGGGGCGGGCAGAAGGGTGGCTGATGGCGCTGAGATAGAGAGAGCAAACGTGCAGAAGACGACGAGACAGCGACGGACTGAGGAATGTGGAGGTGGACGGCGGGAGAGCCTCACTTTCCCTTCTCCTTCTCTGCCTAGCCTGCCCGCTCTTCCTTACCTGGCTGAGTCTCTTCCGCCGCCTGGCCCGGGGTTTGTCTTGCAGCTGTCACTCTCTGAAAAGCCTCCTCCGCCGTCGCCCCCCTTCCTTCACCGAAGCCCATACCTGACACACGCCTCACCGGCGTCTTCAAGGTTTGGAGTCGTTGCCCGACCCACTTCAAAGGGGGGGGGGGAGAAGGGAGCCGACGGCCGCAGGGATTGATGAGGACTAGTCCCCTGTCTCCTGCAATGGAGAACGGCTTCCTCCTTGGGCAAGCAGTTCATCGGGCCCGTTTCCAGCCCTAAACCCGGAACTCCCCCCTGTAGGCTGGGGTTTCCGAGAAGAGACCCGAGGCAATCAGGTTCAAGCTCGTTCCTCTGTCGCCTCTGCCCTGGGGCTTTTTTTTTTTTTTTTGCCCTGCACGCAGATAGAGCTCAGGGCCGGAAAATCGTAGGTAACAGTCTTTGCTATACAAATCAAAAGAGGCCTTCGCCATCTCATCCTCGTCCTCCTCCTCTTCCATCACCACCACTATCAAAAGGAAGAGGATGATACATTAAAACAAAATAATACACATCCAGAGTGACAATACTTAGAGCATTTATAAAAAAAAGGAGAAAAGGTCTATATTTAACTTTTTTTTAATACTTTGAGGTCCAAGACTTTTCTGCCTGTTCCTACTCACTGAGTGGTCCTGACACTAGGGGGTTGTAAATGCTAAGCGGTATGGAAAAATAAGCCTCTGAAACCTCTTTAGTTTGAAAATAAACATGCAACAAATCTCATTCATTATAATCTAAATGAAAAGTTAAATGAAATTTATTCTGGCACAAACTTTTCATGTAGCCAACTACTTCAGAATATACAGGAAATGCTATCTCTGTATGGCACTCAGGAAATATAAACACTGGGGCCAAATGGGCAAGAAATGTAATAAATAGAATAAATGATAATTCTCCACAAAAGCTTAAATGTTATTGCTCTTACACAATATAAAATAACTAGGATCCTCCAACCTGAAGTGCAATCCATAGGATTAATGCAAACTAAACCAACAGACCTTTTCAGGAAGATTGTTGTATACGTTTTAGACTTACAATGAACTGTGGCAAATATGCCACTTGACCTCACTGATCCCCTTTTCCATTTCCTTCATTTTAAGGGCTGGCTAAGGGGAGGCCCCAAGCCCCTGCTTTTGATTTTCATGACAATGCAAATCATTTTTTGAATTTATGAGGATTGCATTTTCCCCTCAAGGAAGTGCTCTGAGATTTTCTGTCCTAGCAAAAGCATTTGGGGCTTGCTCTCTTAATCCTTGTATACTTGGCTCTCAGTCCTAATTCCTCTTGCTAGTAATTGAACTCAGTCTCAGTTTTAAGCAAACTCAGTCTCAGTTTTAAGCAAACCCGCCAAATTCTCATGATTTTAAACATGTTTATTCCGAAGTTTGTTCTACCCTATTCACTGAAGCATTTTCCTCAGTACTCAGGTACTTAGTACTATAACCTGCTTCAACTGGACATTAAGTGCCAGAAAATGATTGCTTTGCTTGGTATATATCATAGATGATTTCAACCAGTTCATGTTATGTACCCAATCTCTGTGATTATGGTTCAGCATATTGTGTGGATGCAGCCAGTGCATTCTGCCTATGTATGTTTGTATTAGCCCACTAACTTCACTACCTGTCTGCTTATCCCAACCCACTCACTCCCACCCCAAAATTTGATACCTTTCAGCTTCTGTAATACAAAATAAAGCTGGTATTTGCTACCATGTGCATTTCATTTGAGTGCTTGCTGTAGTTTTGCTTCCAGCAAAAAAATAAAAAAAATTAAAAAATCAGAGTGCTTTTACTATTCTGAACAAAAGCTTCTTTACCAAAGTAATGGAAATCAGCCTGAAGTGGTGACAGAAAAATGATTTTTCAAGTGGCTTGCAAACCATCTATAAAATATGTCACACTTTTAAACTGCCCTCATTCTAACCTATGTGCCATTCTGCCCTTGTCACATAATGATTTATGGATGACCCCCAATGTGAAACCATCTGCAATGAGACATCTTCAAATAGAACTGTACCTTTATTCTAACCAGATGGAAGAAATTAGGAAACTGGTTTATTGTTGTTATCAATAACTTTAGTTTGCAACCTTTCACCAAATTATTTTCCATCTTATTTATTTATTTATTAATACCTCATCTTCCTCCATAAAGTTTACAGCTGCCCCCATTTTGTAATCATAGCAATGATGATCGAGAAAGGTCACCTTCACATTTTAGTTCATCTCTGATGTTCTGATCTAGTCTCCATCCATCTGGTACTCTTCAGAAACATTGGGCTTTTAACACCTCCATTGCTGGCTGGGAGATTTGAGGAGCTGAAATCCAGCATATTTCAATAGTATCAGACTATATCACATCACATTCTTATATTAAAGTTTCTTTTTATATTTGTTTCTCTTAGCATTTAGATGTAGGATACATCTAAAAGAAGGATTTGGCCCTATCTTATTTAAAATATGCAGATCCAAAAAAAAAAAAAAGAAAATGGGTAGACATGTAAATTAATTCTAACTGAGCATGCTTTGAGATGTGTTTTTTCACACAATGTTATCTCAGCTATGTTCGGTCCTTGGAACCTCAACCAACCTTTCCTGCACTGGTACTTCCCAGTTATGTTTGGACTACAACTCTCATCATGCTCACATAGCATGGACCATATAGGTTAAGAGTAATAAGGTAAAAATCATCTGAAGAAAGCAATATGTTGGCTTGACTACTATAGTTTTTGAAAACTTTTTAGTACTGTCATAAAATTAAGAGATCAACAGTGAACAGATATAATAGCAGCAGATATCATGTCACATTTTATCGTTTTGGACACCTTTAGGATTGAATAAAAAGTTAATACAGTGTCCCAATCATGAGATTATCAAGCTGCACAAGATTTCAAGCAACCAGCTTCTGATTTATATGCATGTACCCTTTGCTAGGGCTACCCCTTCAGTAGCCCTAGCAAAGGTACTTTTTAAATGACTCATATGTTTTTTTAGCCTTTGGATGTTACCTTGTAGCTTTTGAGAAAACAAACTACTACATTCAGTTTTATGTGATTACATAAGTAATAGCCTACAAGTATACATGTACCTATATACATTAAATTTTACTTATTAATTTTATTTAAGTTGTTACTTTCAATTTCCAATAGCATACAAATGTGCAAGTTTCACCGAATAGCTTGCTTTAATAAAGTTGTCCCTTTTATTCTTTCTCATAAGTTGTTGTTTAAAATTGTTGTTTAAACTATGGTTTCAGAACACATGAGGGTGTTAAATCAATTTCAGAGGATAAAGTTGCTTGAGTTTATCTGGTTACCATTTGGGCTACAATTTCATGCCAGGTTTCATATTTTGCCTGCTTTCAAAATTAACAATCTATTTGAATTTATTACATAATAAAATTAAAATTAATTAAAAACTTCTGGATAACTGACCCAATCATTTCAGTATTTTCGTAAGGCTACCATATCTGGACTGCAAAACTTCAAATGGCTACTGCAGGAAAGCAAGGAGTTAAATTTAATGAACCTCACCATTGCCTCACTATTGTTATCTGGTGGTTATTTATTCAAAATATGTTGTTAGTTTATGACAAGGGTGTCAAACTCAATTTCATTGAGGGCCACATCAGCATTGCAGTTGCCCTCGAGGTGTGTGTGTGTGGCCAGTGTGGTTGTGGCCTACTGGGTGGGCATGGACAGAGTGGGTGTGGCCTACTGGCTGGACATGGTCAGCTCTACATTGTTCGCGTCAACCTGTGGGGGCCTGGACAGGAGTGGGACAGATCTGAGGGTCTCTGGCAGAAGGGGGTGGGACCAGGGCAAGTGCCAAGGCATGGTCCACTGGAGGAAACTCATTGTTCCTCTCAGGCCATGTGGGGGGGCTGGATGGTGGTGACGTCAAATGCCCAGCCTGGCCCTCAAGCACCCGCGGCACCAAGCCCAGCCCCACTTCCACAAGGGGACACCCAGCTGCACTTACCTCCTCCTCAAAGCTGCTGCTGCTGTGCTTGCTCTCCTTAGCCAGGTTGCTCATGATGGGTATGAGGGCAAAGTCAGAGGGAGGCCCATTCCCTCGCCATGGGAGGAGACCCGGCTTTGTTTGCAAAGCTTCCTTAACAATAGGATGAGAGACCCCCCAGGATAGGCCAGGAGGAGGAGGCAAGGGGATGGTGAAAGGGCAGCAGGGCAGGACTTCCCTTAGACCCTCCCTCTCCTTCCTTCCTTCCTTCCTTCCTTCCTTCCTTCCTTCCTTCCTTCCTTCCTTCCTTCCTTCCTTCCTTAGTACAGAATGGGGGGGAAATATTTGAGATGAGGGAGGGAGAAAAACAGACAAGAACGCAGCTCAGCATGCACCCAGGGGGTGGGGTCGACACAGCAGGGGCTGACTCCTCGCTGTTTCCAGACGGCCTTGTGGAGCTACGACTGAATGCATTTCATCGTAGATGGCCACCACAAAATTGTACATTGGCTCCTGGCTGGCTTGGGCCAGGGCCAAGGCAGTGGGGCCATACCCTCACTATTTTCAGGATGGCTTCGCGGGTCACATGAAACCACTTTGCGGGCCGTATCCGGCCGCTGGGCCTTTTGTTTGACATGTCTGGTTTATGGCTATGGTCACAACCATGAATTCCATTGAAATCAGGGAAATATGTGCCATCCAAATTTCTATTTTCTTTCTCAGAAGACAGTAATGCCTAAACTCCAATATCATCAGCTTTAATTCAATGGCTGGATTCACATATGTTTAACCTGTTAGAGCAGTGATTCTCAACCTTCCTAATGCTGCGACCCTTTAATACAGTTCCTCATGTTGTGGTGACCCCCAACCCCCCATCCAGCTGGCAGGAGAGGGGGGGCAGGAAGGGCACTCCGCCAGCTCCGCCCAGCCTGTTTTGAGAAGCGCCATTCCTCTCCCTCTTTCTCTCTCTTTCCTCTCTCTCTTTGTCTCTTTCTTTCCTCTCTTTTTCTCTTTCCTCTCTATCTCTTTCCTCTCTCTCTTCTCTCTCTCTCTTTCCTCTTTCTCTTTCTCTCTCTTTCCTCCCTCTTTCCTCTCTTTTCCTGTTTCTCTCTTTCCTCTTTCTTTCCTTTTTTCTTTCTCTTTTCTCTTTCTCTTTCTCTTTCCTCTTTCTCTCTTCTCTTTCCTCTTTCTCTTTCTCTCTTTCCTCCCTCTTTCTCTTTCTCTCTTTCCTCTCTCTTCTCTTTCTCTCTCTTTTCCTCTGTTTCTCTCTCTTTCATCTTTCTCTTATGGCAGCATCATCGGGGGTCCCCGCCGCCCCCAGCCCAGCCTCTGCCGCATCCTCAGCTGAACGGGCAGAGAGGGGGAGCAGGACGGGAGGCAGCGGCGGCGGCGGCACGGCAGCATCATTGGGGTTCCTCGCCGCCGCCCCTGGCCCAGCTGCCATCCCACCACATCCTCAGCCAAACGGGCAGGGAGGGGAAGCAGTACAGGAGGCAGCGGTTCCAGCAGCAGCACAGCAGCATTGTTGAGGTCCCTCGCCGCTGCCCCCGGCCCGGCCGCTGCCCCTGCCGCATCCTCAGCCGAATGGGCAGGGAGGGGGACCAGGATGGGAGGCAGCAGCTAAGGCGACGATGGCGGCATGGCAGCATTGTCGGGGGTCCCTGCCACCCCCGACAGGACTCCGCACTGCCCAGCCTTGTCCTCTGTCCATCAATGGAGCTGCAGTCGGAGCTGGTGCCACGTGGCCCTCCAGCCCTCCGCCAGCCCAGCTGCTTCCCCCCGCAGGTAGCCCTCTTGCTCTGGCACTCGCCCGAGCTGCCCAGGGGGTACCAGGAGGAAGAAGGAGAGGATGAGGGCGAGGAAACCACCACCGCCCCTCTGCCAGCCCGGCTGCTCCCCCCAGGCACCCCTCTTGCCCTGGCGCCTGCCCAAGCCCCCGGGCCCCAGAAGATGGCTCTCCTCTCCTACCTTTGCTGCATCTCCTTCTTCCTTCCTGGCGCGCCTTCCCGACCAGCGGGTCCAATGGTCGGGCTGGCTGGGGATCGCAGGGGCTGGTCTCCATTGGGCTGCAGCTTGCGGGAGGGCTGGCCCGCTCAGCGGAGCCTCCAGTGGGCCGCTCCCAGGAGGGATCCCAGGGCTTTTCCAGGCAGCTCCAAGGCCACAAAGCTCTGGCCGCGCTTCTCCCAGGGGGCGAGGCAACCGGGTGCAGGGCCAATCAGGAGCCCTGCAGGAGGTAAGTCCGCTGAGAGAGAGAGAAGGGAAGTGAAAGTGCCTCTCTGTCTCTCTCTCTCTGCAAATGGCAGAGGAGGCCATGCGGAGATGGATGTGGAGCTGTGTCTCGGTTCCTAAAACCATCGGAAATATGTGTTTTCCGATGTTCTTAGGCGGGTTGAGAACCGCTGTGTTAGAGAAAGTCCCAGCAGATACTATTGCACATCCTATTAAGCTTGGTTAATGTTAAGGCTGATTAGTTTTTAGTGTCTTAGCATTCTTTGTGAGCACTGCCAATTCCTGATTATAATATTTCATGTAGGGCAAATTCAGACAACTAAATGAGTACTCTAACAACTATTTTCTTCTTCTCCTTCCCCCCCATGTGTGTGTTTGTAGTGTATGTGCATGTGTGTGTGTATAAAGTGTGTGTTTATACATGTGTATATGTATGTGTATATATATATACACACACAAACACACAAACACAGAGACACATATACATACATATGACCAAGGCAGTCATAGAATGGATCCCACTTGATAAAAAGCATATGTATATTTATGTATATGGTATATGTGTGTACACACAATTATTTTATGGACCATATTTCCTTAAGGTGTAGCAATATCTTTGTTCCAATCTTGATATACAGCAGGATAAGATAGTATTTTGAAGTGATGGTGGATTACATTATATTAGACTTAATGGTGGAGGGACTGTCTTTCTATTCTTCTGTGTAGTAATAATTCTTCAAGTAAAAAGACAAAATACTTTTTTACTTGCTTAGCTTAAACTGACTATGTCCTCAAGCTTCTCCAGCCAGCCAAGAAGTAAAATTTATTTGTTAGTCAAGATGATATCTGTCAATGGAATGTGAAAAAGAATCATTTTATTCTTTGCATTTGGCAGGATAGCATTGTTTTCCTTGGCGTTATAGGTATCCAAGCATATTAATTCTTTGCTGAGAGGTTCCACTATTTCATTACTATTTATTATTCTACATAATTAGAAGAGATATAGTTTGATTAAAGCTACCATATATGGGCTGCAAAAATGTAGACCACATAAAAAGATATATAAAAAGTCAGCACCAAACAAACAAACAGAACTACTAACCCTTTCTGATACTAATGGTTATCAGGATATTAGCCATCTAGCTATATCATGGGTGTCAAACTTGCCATGTCACGTGACGTGTCACGACATATCGCTACTCTTTTTGCATTACTGGCAATGGGGTGGGCGCAGCCTTGGTATGATGAAACCGGCTCGCAGGCCAGAAGTTTGACACCCCTGACTATGTTCTCCTTAAGATTCTAAGAGTACGAATGAAGTTGAAAACTATGGAAGATAAGTGAGCCCTCCTGACTGCCAGATGGTTCAATTGGTAGCAGCATTTTGTTGACTTTGTCTGTTTAGTATTTTGACCAAGGCTCACAATTAGACCAAGAAGCTGAAAAAACATCCCAAATGAACTGAAGAGGCTTCTTGGATGAGGTGAAATATTTTCAAAGAAAAAAATTAAGAAAGTCCAATTGCCTTTTGGAAAAGCACCTCTGAGACAACATCCCAAATGGTTAAGGCAATAACAATTTTCCTTTAGCACTGATGATGTTATCTAGTTCGGGTGATGAAACATCTGCA